GGTTGGTTCTTTCTGCAGGCTCTGAGGGAGAAACCTGCTCCATGCCTCTCCCCTAGATTGTGGTGGCTGTCAGCAATCATTGGCATTCCTTATCTTATAGACACATAATTCCAATCTCTGGCTTCAGATGGCCTTCTTCCCAGTGTGTCTTCTGACTCTTATAAAATCATGTCAGGGCTGGGGATATAGCTCAGTTGGTAGAGTGCTTGCCTCATATGCATAAGGCCCTGGGTTCAATCCCCAGCACCACACACACACACACACACACACACACACACACATCATTAGATTTAGGACACACCCAATTAATCCAGGATGATCTAATTTTGAGATTCTTAATTACATCTGCAAAAGACACTTATTCCAAATAAAGACACATTTGTAGATTCTGGGTGGACATATATCTTGAGACCATCTAACCCACTATCCCAATTTAGAAGTTCAGTGAATACTTGACAATAGGAATACTTGCTGGATCTCTAGATGACAAAAAGATGAGAATAGGAGAGATTTCCTGAAATGCTCAATTGTTTCCTAGTCAATACACATCCACCAGCCTATAGATTGCCTCTTGAAGTCATTGCTTTCTATATGATTCCAAGTGGTTACTTTTCTACTCAAAACTATCAGGAAACCAATTTTAATTAATTTACAAAGAATATAAAGGTTTAACTTACTTACATAGCACCAGGTGCAGAAGATTCTATACTCTTGCATCTTACTCATTATGTGCCAAAAACCCTTTTGATAACAATCAATATGCTTTGGGGCATGACTATGACCTTCCAAAAGGTTCTTTGTCCTGAGATTATGTGCTTGTAAGTTCTTAGCACAATGTTCCTGGAGTTCTAGGAATATTTTTATATGTATATATCCTTTTCTTTCATTAACTTTAGCGGGGTGATTACTTTAGCCAGGCATGGTGGCACACACCTGTAATCCCAGTGACTCAGGGGTCTGAGGCAGGAGGATGGCAACATTCAAAGCCAGCCTTAGTAAGACTGTCTCTCAAAAAGTAAAAAGAGCTGGGGATATAGTTCAATGGTTAAGCRCCCCTGGGTTCAATCCCAAATACCAAAATTAAAACAAAAACAAAACATTGACCCTGGGCATGGTGCTGCAGGCTTATAATCCCAGTGGCTCAGGATTAAAAAAAAATTGCTTTACAAAATGTATATTGGAAAATGGAAGGTATAGTGAGACTTCCCATCATAGCTGATCCAAATCAAATATTCTAAATTTTCCAGAAGAACTAATTTTAAATATTATAGTTCTTTGTTTAAAAAATGAATATAGCCCAAGTTTTGATTTGGCAAATATGGTTAGCCTACATGGAGTAAAGCAAGATAGGTTGGCAGTAACATGAATTTTCTAAYAAGAATCACAATGTCTAAGGCATTTCAGAGGATAAATAAGGATCTGGGGTAATTAACATTAGAATCCACATGATGAGGTATGAGTATCAAGGCATAAAGAAGAGACAGGAACTAAAGCAAAAGTGTTAAGAGGGTAGATTATAAATAAATACCTTGACTGAATCAGGGTGGTGATTAAGAGGGTTAGCTCTATTCAGGCACAGTGGTCCAGCCTGTAATCCCATCGGCTCAGGAGGCTAAGACAGGAGAATTGCCAAGTTCAAAGCCAGCCTCAGCAAAAGCGAGGTGCTAAGCAACTCAGTGAGACCCTGTCTCTGAATAAAATACAAAATAGAATTGGGGATGTGGCTCAGTGGTCGAGTGCCCCTGAGTTCAATCCCTGGTACAACCCCTTCCCCCAAAAAGAAGGTTAACTCTGCTATTAGACTGGGTTCAACTCAGTTTTGCTACTACTACCTAAGTGACTTTGGACAACTTGAGTTTTCTGAGCCTCAGATTCTCCCTATGTAAGACTTGGATAATGATAGTACTTACCTCATAAATTTTTTATAAATACCAAATGAGCTGATATATGGAATGTACTTATCTCAGTGTCTGGCATTCAGTAAGTATTCACTAAATGTTAGTTAGCTATCATTACATTTGCATATGCATCACAATTTATAAAGTGCTTCCATGTATGTTATACAATTCTCATAGCAATCCTGTGTTATCACCCCTGTTTTAGAAAAAGAGGGGCTGGGGTTGTGGCTCAGAGGTAGAGTGCTCACCTAGCATGTGTAAGGCACTGGTTTCGATCCTCAGCACCACATAAATATAAAATAAAGATATTGTGTCCACCTATAACTAAAAATAAATATTAAAAAAAAGAAATAAGAAAAAGAGGTACAGATAAATTAAGCAAGCAATCCAAAGTCTCACAGCCTGGAAATGAGAGGACTAGGATTAGCACTTAAGTAGCATCAAGGTTTTTATATAACATAGCTGCTGTCTCTGAAATTGTGTATGTTGAAGATAGGGTGGAGGAGGAAGAGGCTTTGCAAATCCAAAGGAAAGAAGTACTCATAGTTTAGTCTAAGGTAAGTTTAGAAGACCTTCTTAAACTTCTGGCCTTTTCATCCCATGATTCCTTTTTTTAAAAAAAAAACGCTGGATCTAAGTCAAAAGGCTTAGAAGCGATAAATTGATTCCTTTTTTCTTATGTATTCATTTTCAGCTCCAAGAGAAGTATAAATTGAATCTTAGTCTCCCTATCCACTTGATCATTGACAAAAATCAAATACCTACATCTACTGAATTTAGCCAACAGCCATTCCTAGAGTTACTATTTGAAGAGGAAAAAAAGTCTGATGCTTTCAAGAAATTTAGGTATGTGGTAGAAAGACTGATGTTAAATTTTGTTTGGTTGCTCTGTGAAACAAAATGCTTTTTTAAAGTTATGCCCAACAGCTTCTGTTTCACTATAATTATGATATGGAACAGGAGTATTAATTTCCTTAGCTAATTTAACAAGAGATTTATTTATGTCTATTTTTACTTAAAAATATTTAACACCTAATTTTGAGTACCTTATAAAATAGCTTAGAAACTGATTATTTTTAACCATATCTAATAAGGAAACTTAGAAGCCTTAACCCTTGTTTTTTTTTTTTTTAAAGAGAGAGTGAGAGGGACAGAGAGAGAGAAAGAGAGAGAGAGAGAGAGAATTTTAACATTTATTCATTTTTTCTTAGTTCTCGGCGGACACAACATCTTTGTTGGTATGTGGTGTTTTTTTTTGTTTTGTTTTGTTTTGTTTTGTTTTTTTGTCCTTTGCAATAGTAGAAATTGAGGGCTGGGGTTGTGGCTCAGTGGTAGAGCGCTCGCCTAGCATATGTGAGGCCCTGGGTTCAATCCTCAGCACCAC